TTAGCCTTAAATTTTATTATTTACCACGTGCTTCCTCTGACAAGACTATCGATTTTCTGAGCGATCAATAGAACTGTCAGAGAAATAGAAGATCAATATGCTTATGTCAAACAATGCAGCTCTCAAAAGTCTGTCTGAGTGATTGGAAGAGCTAAATATAATGCTGGGCAGCCTGAACCAGAGCCTCTATAGATTGTGCCCGCCCCACCTGGCTCTTTCTTTCTTTTCTCCCATTTAGACCCAATTTTCACCCCAAATTGGTTTTGATAGACCAAGAGTGTGGACAGGGGAGCTGCTCTGAAATTATCAAGGTCACAATATTTTTCTCTGCAGTGGTCTGTCAGCTGGCCAGTTTAGGTACATAGGCACCTGCAGAGAAAGGAAGGGAAATGTAGTAAGCTCCTTCGAAGCTCCTGCAGATGGGCAGGTAAGGTTCAAATAAAAAAGAAATATAATAGAAGCCAGAGCAGGTAGTCAGGAAGAGAGGGTTTCCCCACACCTGTAAGGTTGGCAGGAGATGTTGCTAGAATGAGATGTGAGTAGGCAAGCTGTGGAGCAGAGAAGGCCAGCACTGGGAGAACCAGAAGCCAGAAGATCTGGAGAAATCCCAGGAAAGGGCCTGAGATAGTTTGATCCCAAAGAAGAACGTGTAGAAAAGAATCAGGAGAAAAAAAAATGCAGCCATGGACTCTATATAGGGAGAGTGCAAACTCCAACTGGTCCAGGTTGGAGTTTAATTAGGCGAGAGTGGCAAGATTAATTAATTAGGCAAGAATGTATTAAAGGGGAGAAGCTGTTAGCATTCCTAAATCTGCAGATAAAGTAGAAGAGGAAGAGGAAGAAACGAGCAGCGAAGCAATTTGCATCATAAGCAAAGTAACAGAAATCTAAGGCACTTAGTAAATCAGGGGTGGGATTCAGCCAGTTTGGGCAAACCGGTAGCTCCGACGATGTATTTCTTTTTCTCTTCATTCCCACCCTCAAACAAAGTACCTCTTCCCTCTCCCATCCCCATTCTATATTGGTGTTTGCGTGTGTGTGTGTGTGTGTGTGCGTGCGTGCATTTGTGTGTGCGTATGAGTGTATTGATGCACTTCATTTACGGATGTTCCCAAACACACTTGTGTGCACATTACCCTGCAGCGATGTAGAGGAGGTAAACATCCATCAAACAGCAGAATTCCTGGCTGACTGACCTACTGATTTCCCAGGAATTCCATATCCCAGGATACACAAGCGACAAAAGACCATCTGTCCAGTCACGCTCATTGTCCAAGCCAAAATAGTTATGGAGACACAGCGTGCAGCAATCAGGCAATTAGAGAGCCTTGTAAACCAGACTACTTAAGCCAACTGGAGCTAAACAATTCTTTTTATATGTGAAAGAAATGCCAAAAATGAATTTTCCTTCATCAGACTGAAGTAGCATCAAAAAAGACATTTGTTTTTTGTTTCTTTCTGCAACACACTGAGGCCTATGGCTTTTTTCATCTCCTGACAAATGAATTGCACAAAAATGACTGCGTATACTATGCATAGTCCAAGTAAATCAGTTCTACGGTATATATAATATAAACCATAATAAACCCATATCTTGATCAACAGTATCCTATCTTAATACCATCTAATACAGGTAGCCCTTGACTTACGACCACAATTGAGCCCAAACTTTACGTTACTAAGTGAAACACTGGTTAAGTGAACTTTGCCCCATTTTACAACCTTTCGTACCACATCTGTTAGGTAAATCACTGCAGTTGTTAAGTGAGTAACACAGCTGTTAAATGAATATGGCTTCCCCATTGACTTTGCTTGCAAGAAGGTCACCAAAAGGGATTATGTGACACCGGGACACTGCTATCATCATAAATATGAGTCAATTGCCAAGAATCCGAATTTGGATCATGTGGCTATGGGGATATTGCAATGGTTGTAACCAAGCGTGGATTTGATTTAAATCGAGTTGATTTAAATCACAATTTAAATCATGATTTAAATCACTAGTAAAAAGGCTTGATTTAAATCAACTCGATTTAAATCATAATTTTTAAAGAGCAGCTGTCATCTCTGCTACTCCTTTGACCCGCTGTTGACCCACCGATAGTCCCAGTGTTGCAGAATATACAGCCTCATGCTACATAACTAAGCTCCATTTCATGCTGAATAAACTAAATTATTTATGTTTCTTAAATAGAAAACTATATTACGATAGATTTTTACCCCAAAAGTTTTTTATTGAAATAAATTCGATAAAAATCAAAAAAATCCGATTTAAATTAAAAAAATCCGATTTAAATAAAAAAAATCTGATTTTTTTTATCTTTTTAAAAAAATCATTGATTTTTATCCACCCTGGTTGTAAGTGTGAAAAACAGTCATAAGTCACTTTTTTCAGTGCCGTTGTAATATTGAATGGTCACTAAATGAACTGTTGTAAGTCGAGGACTATCTGTGCTCAATAGAAGCAATTCTTAATATACAAATACAAGTTGGACACAAATCAAATCATGAGGAAGTTTTTCAACTTTCATAAAGATCCTGGAAAAAGAAGCTTTTTAAACCTTTTTAACAATTTTTAAAGATTGTACTACAGGCCTAACTCAAAGAAGAGTTGAAGCCAGAGTACTAAATGGGGCGGGGGGGGGGGGGGGGGGGAGCCTTTAAAAACGTGAGGTGGCAATTTTAAGATAAAGGATCGACTGATTGCACAAGTGAGCCGAGAGCACAAGAGTATGAATTGTAATCAGCCTTATCAGATAACACTGTGTGCACAGCCCAGAAGATTAGTACTGACAATTTGAACTGATAACACTGCCAAAGAGCCAACCAACGTTAAAATTCATGAAAATTCAGGTAGGAGTGTATTGGAAGTGATCCAGGGCCAATAAATCTGCACTGAGTTCTTGTTTTTTCCCTTAACCTAACTCTCACACTAAATTGAACCCCAGAATCCAGGGAAGGCTGACTCTACTTTCATCCTACTGTCAGTAGAAATTTTGTCCTAAAATTAGCAGCAGGGGAATCTTCAGAGGGGCCTTGAGACAAACAGCAAGTCAGAGCCATGCATAATGGTTGACTCAGTCTTCCATCCTTCTGAGGTGGGTAAAATGAGGACCCAAATTGTTGGGGGCAATATGTAAACCGCTTAGAGAGCGCTATAGACAGGGGTGGGCTGTCTATAGGGGTTCGCAGGGGTTCAGGAGAACTTATAGCTAAGATTCTGTGCAGTTTAGAGAATCCCCAAATCCCACTCCTGGCTGGCCCTGCCCCTCCCAGGAGTCTCCACACGGTCCGTTTTGGATAAATAAATAAAATAAATAAATAATTTTATTTCTATACCGCCCTTCTCCCGAAGGACTCGGGGCGGTGTACAGCCTATTAAAAACACAAAGACAAACATCAGTTAAAAATAATTTAAATTATTACATAATTCGGCTGAAATTTAAAACCCCAAAAATTTAAAACCCAATTTAAAAATCATTAAATTGATAGCCCGGCTTGGCGAAACAGCAGGGTCTTGAGGGCACAGCGAAATACACGGAGGTCGGAGATTTTGCGCATTTCCGGGGGCAGTTCATTCCACAGGGCAGGGGCTCCCGCAGAGAAGGCCCTCCCCCTGGGTGTCACCAGCTGACATAACTTGGCAGATGGCACTCTGAGGAGTCCCTCTCTGTGGGAGCGAACTGGCCGGTGGGAGGCTGTTTGTGGCAGAAGTCGGTCTCGAAGGTACCGAGGATGCAGGTAAGTGCAGGGTGTGCGTGGAGGCTCAGGAAGGGTGAAAAACGGGCCTACTGGAAGTTTGGGAAGATGGCCTCCGGAGCCTGGGAGACCGTTTTCACCCTCCTGGAGGCTCAAGTAAAGCCTCCGGAGCCTGGGGAGGGCAAAAAGCCCCCCCCCCATGATGCAGAAGGCCGACTAGGCCACGCCCATGATGGCTATGCCCATCCAGCAACTGGGCAGAGAACCCCTTGCTAAAAATTTTGAAGCCCACCCCTAGCTATAGAGCACTGTAAAGCGTTATATAAGTCTTAAGTGCTATTGCTATTGCTATAATGAAACATGCACTGGAGAAGAAGTGGGGCAGAGTTTTGGAGCTTTCCCAGAGAGGGGCCAGATTAGAAGACTGCATATAGTCGCAAACTGGATGGTGGAGGAGGAAAGTGGTTTAGGACAGCCACACCCTAGAATCCCTCAGGATATATTAAATAGGCTATAAGGTTAGAGCTTTAGTTTGGCAAGATTCTGTCCATTGGGTCTACGCAAATAAAGGAGTGGACCTTATTGGATTTCACTGTATCGTCTCATGTAACCAAAGCCCTGCTTGTTTTTAGATATGTTGTCATGCACATTAAAAAAAAAAAAGACTTTGATTGCATTTGTTATAGCTCCAATTTTGACTTTTTCTGGGGGGGATACCCCTGCCTGACAGGCAATCCCTCTTATAACACTTAAGGCCTCAGGCTAGAAACCAGGAGACTGTGAGTTCTAGTCATGCTTTAGGCATGAAAGTCAGCTGGGTAACTTTGAGTCAATCATCAGGAGACTGTGAGTTCTAGTCCCACCTTAGGCATGCTGGATGACTTTGAGCCATTCACCAGGAGATTTGGGGGTGGGAGGAGTTCTAGTCTCGCCTTAGTCATGAAAACTGGCTGGAGACGACTTTAGGCCAGTCCCCCCCACCTCTCTCTCTCTCAGGCCAACTCATCTCACAATGTTGTTGTGGAGAAAATAGGAGGACGGAGGAGTATTATGTATGTTTGCTGCCGTGAGTTATTTATAAAAATAATAAAGGAGGGATATAACTAACTAAATAAATACAATAAATAAATAAACCCACATATAAAATTCAAGTGCAGAGCCCAAAGAAGCTTAACTCTAACTCTAATCCTAGCTTCATTGTACTACCAGCAGAAGAACCAATAAAATCTATTTTCCTCTGTAATATAAATCCCACGGTTTCACCTTGGAATCAGGACAGCAAGTATTCATTTGAAACTGACCTCTGTTGTTGTAATTGTGAGTATCCATGAAAGATAATCCCAGCCTCTCATCTTCCTGAAGGGTACTCTGGTCTGTGAAGCTCTGGTCAATTGCGCTCATCATGTGTGTTTTCTCATTGCGGTAGTTGATTGTGGCTTTGGTCATGTTGACAGGTTTCCTAGTGGAAGATTACAAAGAAGGAAAGTAGGCAAATGTTACACTATGCAATCCACTTTGAATTTTCTCTATAAACAGATTCTTGAAGGACAAAAAGAAGAGGAGAAAAAAAAAAGAGAGGACAAAAGAATTGGAGTTAATCTCATAATAGAAGCAATTTCTGAAGTTGTGGTGGTTGCATACCTTGAAAAAAGTCAAGAGGCTGAGCTTCTTAACCGCTCTGAAATTTTATCAATAATAGAACCACCTTCAGAATTAACAGAATTTCCACATAATTCCTGTCCTAATACCATATTTATGGGTCTGATCGCTTTCACCTAAAACCATATTGTTTTTTTCCAAATTGGGTCGTTGTCGTCCCCCCCCCCAGGCATATTTTCCCAATCGTTCCCAGAATTCCAAGCCCACTCATTTATTATTTACATATTCATTCAATTTCTCTCTTGTTTCCACCCCAGAAACTCAAATGGCAATTTACAACAATTCAATGAGATAGGTAAGGGGAGAGAGATAGCAACTGCCCAGTTACTCTGTGAACCAACGTTGTTATCAGTCTTAGGTTTTGATGGTCCTATTTTAAAAGTTTAACCTCTGATTGACCTTTGACCTTGAACACAAGAGCATCTTGGACAATCTGAACTAGGTAACCTGCTAATCTCACATTACAAAAGGGGGATAGATGCAGGGATGGGCTCCTGGGGGTTCTGAAGGGTTCGGGCGATCCTCTAGCCAAGGATCACCGGGGTTTGGCGAACCCCCAAATGCCACCCTGGCTGGCCACGCCCACCCAACCCCGCCACTCCCAACCTGCCCCGCCACTCCCAGGAGCCTCCACGCAGCCCATTCATCATTCCAGGTAAGTGCAGGGGCTGGATGGAGGGTCTAAGGGGGCAAAAAATGGGCCTACCGGAGGTTCCAGAAGTCTGGAGATGAGCCTATTTGCAAACTCCGGGGGGCCTCTGGACCCCAGGCGAAGCTGTTTTCAACCTCGAGGAAAGCCTCCAGATCCTGGGGAGGGCAAAAAACGGGCCTCCTGGAAGTTCTGGAAGTCCAGAAATGGGCCTGTTTCTGGCTTCCGGAGGGCCTCCAGACCACGGGGATAGCAGTTTTCACCCTCCTGGAGGAAAGTCCTCACCTTCCTTGAGGAAAGCCTCCAGAGCCTGGGGAAGGTGAAAAACATGCCCCCCCCCCCCCCCGGGGGGGGGGGGGGCCCACGAGGCCCCCCCCCCCCCCAGCAATGGGGCACCGAACCCATTGCTAAAGGATCTGAAGCCCACCCCTGGATAGATGTATGCAACTTTACTAGCACCCACTAAAGCTGTAGAAAGGTGGATACTACCTCGTCCAGATTAGGTAGGCTTCCTACCTAATGGATGTCCATCTCTCTCTAACAGAGTTCCATCCTCATCAGTAAGGGTACGGCTAACTCATCACAACTACAAGCTGGCTCTTTCTCTGTAATCTGCCTAGAAGACTCCAATTACTTTTTTTTTTAAGTCTTTCAAATAACATTACATCAAATAATGTAATGGTGTGAGGGAGTGACCTTGAGGGACGGGGCAAAGAAACTGCAGCCAAGGGAATGGAGAGATAAAAAGCAGCTGAGTGGGGAATGTGAGCGGGGCAAGCGGTTCAGAAAACCCTCCCTAGTTTTTCGACTGTAAATGGGACAAGGGAGAGAAGCGCTTTCAGAGTTGCAAGATTCTGTTGATGTAGCTTTACAATAAAGTAGAATTAGCTCAATCTGGTCTTGTTTCTAGTAAGGGTGACAAACTAACATTAGCTTCCAATACACATGGAATATATTAACAAGCAATCATTTTTGTGTGTATTCCGCAGTTCTCGACAAGAACTATGCCGCATGTTTGCAATAATGCTGGGATATCATTTAAATAAAGCATGGACTCATTTGGTTTGGTCTTATCCTACCACAGTTACATTTTGGTTGAAATTTATCTGACTGACAGTCAGGTTTGAGGTTGATTGCTGCTTTATCAAAATAATTGCTATCAAGTGCATGATCTTTTAAGCCAGCTTTCTTCTACCTGGCTGCCCTCCATATGTGTGGCTATTGCTGAGATTTCTAGGAACTCAAATGTACACATCTGGAGCGCAGCCATCTTGGAGAGAGCTAATCTAGTTTATATCTCTAGCATATGGTTGTGATTAACATACTGAGGGCCATGGGTATTTCACACAACGAAATTAGCCAAAAGTAGTAGTATTTCAATACTGGAAAGATACATTTGCTCTGATTGGCAGCAGCACTGAGTTTTTGATATGTGTTCTTCATCAGTATTTGGACATGTTATTTTTCAATAGTGGCACAAGGAACCAATGGCAGAACAATTGGATCAGCAATTCTTACTTTGTGCATGATTATGTATTGTGTAATACATATATTGTGCATATATTATGTATGTATGTATGTATGTAGCTATGCATGTATGTATGTAGCTATGTATATATGTATGTATGTAGCTAGCTAGCTATCATCTATCTGGCTATCATCTATCTACTGTATCTAATTTCCTTTTCCTCTGTATTATATTTTGGGTCTACCCTGATTATCTTATAAATTTAAATGTTAAGTTCTGATAACATCTGAAATCTGAAAAAGAGTCCTTTGTTTTGTGAACACTCCTATACACAATGCAATTAATTAACAGCAATTTGTCAAGATTAAGGAACATGTCCCTGGATAAAGAAATATTATGAGATAAGTAGGGCAATTTATATACTGATAATTGTATAAATCAAAATATTTTCAAGGTGACAAAACCTACACGTTTTCCTCCAAGCTAATATTGATTCTGCAGTTGGTTTCTTCCAGAATTCCATATCAGGATTGCCACCCTTAAAATTTCAGTCTTCAAAGACATGGATGGAGGAAGGGTTATTGATAAGGCTGCATTAAGGACTAAGTAACAGGAAGCCAATTGATAAACAAGGCATGTAAATGATCTCCTCATTTCTATACTCTTCAGGATACCCAAAGGCATCAACCCAGTTAAATTACACTATTAGTGTAAAACAATATTTCTCATATTCTCTCTATTTATGTTTTTTCACTGAAGATTTATCAAGCAATCTTGGATCGCATGTCCATAAAATTGTGACATAATTAGATTATTTTGGCCCTACAATGCACAAAAAGCCCAAGAAAAAACAAGTCATACTTCTAAACTGTGATGGATGGATTTGCACATCATGCTAAACCAAAAACAGCATGATTTCTGAATGAAACCATCTTCCTTTCCTTAAAAGCTCCAGTGGAAGAGAACAATGCCCCATGGAATGGTAGTACTGAGAACGTATCTCATTTTATTTTAATGAAGCTCTCTTTCCCTTGAGTTCTTAAAAACATACTGACAGACAATATGCTGAATGAATCTCAGGGTTAGGGCCATTTGTCAAGAAACGTAACAAATTTCTCAATCAAAGGCAATACTCATATACACCCCCTTAATCTTTTGTAAGTGCAATTGCCCACTTTTATGGCTGTAAAAATATTCTAGAGCCTATAACATTGCCTCATCTTGAAATATAGCACTTATGTCTGTTCAATACTATTGATTCTGCTCCCAATGTGATTTTAAGCGTGGACAAGTTCTTCAGCTACTTACATTCAAAGAGTCAACTTTACATAATTTGCTTTTCATGGCTCCCAGCTGTATTAAAACTTTTGCTTCAATTCTTACAGAGAATTTTCAGTCTGAACATCAGTTTTCAGTTAAAAGCCAAAATTCAGGGCTCACAAAGCTTTATTCTTTAGTTTAAGCCATGTACCTTGGGATTTTTATTGTTTAGCTGCATTTTTTTCTCTCTCTCTCTCTCTCCTTTTGAATTTCTGGTGCAGGGAAAGAACAGGGAGAAATGATGCAGATCTTATGGCAACCCTACAGAAACATCCTGTTCGGCTATTACGTTTGGGTGTTCAGTCTAACGTGGGAATGCTCGGTCCAAGAAGTCCTGCTGATGATGTCAGTAAAAAGAGTTAGTTTACAGGATAATTATACCTAACAAGAGGCTTTCACACAAGCAAAGACTTTCATGTCAGCTGACATTGTTTACTCTCAGGAGTCCATATAAAAGCAAAATAAAGAGTTAGGTACCACACTGATTTCATCAGGGGTGCGTTCTAAATTTTTTTACTACCGGTTCTGTGGGCGTGGCTTATTTTGTGGGCGTGGTTTGATGGTCATGTGACAATTCTTTAGGATTTAGCAGAGGTACTGGTCTACCAGGCTTTTAACTGCTTGTAGAGCTGTACCGGTCTACTCATTTGTTCTTGGAGCGTCCCGGTCTACCCATTTGTTTTTCGAGCAGGTCTACCACCACACTGCCTTTTAATACTGATCAGCTGTAGGGTGGCCCTTTGAAGCCCTGCAGCAAGAGTTTAAACAGTTTTTTTCCTTCCAGCCGTTCAGCTGGGACTCAGGAGGCAGCGAAAAATTGGGGGCGGGGCCAAATAAAAGGTCAGAATAACGTGGGGGGGCAGGAGGACCCAGCTCCCGAACAAAGAGAACCGGTTCGGTGACGTCATATCGTCACTGCTACCGGCTCAGCCGAACCGGGCCGAACTGGGAGCAACCCACCACTGGATTTCATGCAACCCTTGAAGTTACTTTAGTTACTACTCAGAAAGCCTCGTGCTCCTTAAAATTTATGGAGGTTCTCAATCATCCAGGTCATGGTTGTCCTAAAAGTGCTTTTCCAAAGGGCACTTGGACTTTCTTGGGTTTTTGTTTTTTCTTTGAAAATGTTTCACTTCTCATCCAAGAAGCTTCTTCAGACAGAAGTTGGATGGGAAACGAAATGTTTTCAAAAAGAAAAAAAAAAAACCAAGAAAGTCCAGGTGCCTTTTGGAAAAGCACCTTTGGCTCCTAAAAATTCAACTCTTGAAAATGTAGAAGAATTCAGATTCGAAGAATTTCCCGGTTTCCAATGTATCTAGAGATGACAATGAACTTGGCCAAACTCGGGATTAGAAAAGAATGTGAAGAGCTCATGACATCTTGTTTGAAAGAAAGAGTTTAAGCTCCCCCCCCCCAAAGATTCTCCCCCTTGGGAAAAAAAAAAAAGGGGGCTCTTCCAGCTCCCATTGTCACCTGCTGATCTTCACTGTCAACCCTTTAGCTTACAAACACCAGAGGTCCTAGGATTAAAGGCAGTGGTGGGATTCAGCCAGTTCGCACCACTTCGGGTGAACCGGTTGTTAAATTTCTGAGCAGTTTGGCAAACTGGTTGTTGGAAGAAATCATTAGGGCAGAGAACCGGTTCTTAAATTACTTGAATCCCACCACTGATTAAAGGTAAAGATTTCCCTCGAACTTATGTGCTAGTCGTTCCCGACTCTAGGGGGCGGTGCTCATCTCCGTTTCAAAGCCGAAGAGCCAGCGCTGTCTGAAGACGTTTCCGTGGTCATGTGGTCAGCATGACTAAACGCCAATGGCACACGGAACGCTGTTACCTTCCCACCAAAGGTGGTCCCTATTTTTCTACTTGCATTTTTTACGTGCTTTCGAACTGCTAGGTTGGCAGAAGCTGGGACAAGTAACGGGAGCTCACCCCATTATGTGGCACTAGGGATTCGAACCGCTGAACTGCCGACCTTTCGATCGACAAGCTCAGTGTCTTAGCCACTGAGCCACCACGTCCCTAGGATTAGGAAGAGGAAAAGAATTGCTTCAGAGATCAGAGGGTTGGGAAGATATTCTCTTCTGTACTAAACCATGGTGCTGTTGATCAGAATTATGGTGATCGAGATGCTTGCATTGAAACCGCTGAATTAAAGAGAATAAATGAGTTGTAATAACATGTAACGGTCCATAGCTCAGGAGAGACATGACAGGAAACCCCAAGGTAGGGGTGCAAGTGGTTTGCTAAATATGTTTCTGTCTAAACAGGCTTCTAAATGTATTTGGCAAGCAATGACCTTGCAGCAGAGCTTCTGCTTTTTATCTACTTTCGTGCAAATGGCTGTCTTCCTGCTTGGGTAACCAAATAGAGTATAAAGGCATGCTGAATAAATCATCTCGGGCTCTTTGGCTTTATGGGAGGACCCACCTTTGCCAGATCTGAATAAACATGTGACTCAGAGAGAATTGAACTCTGCCTCTTTGTTCATGCTGGGCCAGACCTAGATTGCCCGCTTGGCAGTGTGTCCAGGGGCCTCTACAATCTCTAATTGGTTTGCCACCTTGGTTCTAACGAGAGAAGTTATCTCATCTGGGGCGGGGGAGTCCTTGGTGCTCTCTGGGCTTGGTGGTTTCTTTGCAGACGTTTCATTACCACACTAGATAATGTTATCAGTGCTAGTACTGACAATATTACCTAATTTGGTAATGAAACGTCTGCAAGCAATCCACCAAGCTTAGAAAGCACCCAGGACCCCAAAGTTCAATGCTTTCAACCCAAGAGAATATTTGTGCTACAAATATTCTCTTCTATCATTATCTCATCTCCCTATATAGAAGTAAAATGTACTTGGACATCCTGTGTGTGTGTGTGTGTGTGTGTGTGTGTGTATGCATGTATGTATATGTATATGTATATGTATATGTATATGTATATGTATATGTATATGTATATGTATATGTATATGTATATGTATATGGTATATGTATATGTATATGTATATGTATATGTATATGTACATACTTGGTCTGCTGTGTGGATGCTTGGGTGGTTTAGGGGTGGGGAAGTTTTGTTGGGTGTGGGTATGTCTGGGAATTTCATGTATGTTGGGCTTGGTCTCTGGGTATTATGTGAATTTTGTTGTATGGGTACTGTGTATATACGTACAATGACAATAAACTTTATATATAAAAATATGTATATATAAATGTATATACAGTGGTGGGATTGAAAAATTTTATCAACTGGTTCTCTGCCCGTTTGCTGGGTGGGCATGGCCATGGGGGCATAGCCTACTCGGCCTCCTGTACCTTGGGGGTGGGGGGTGGGGGTGTTTGCCCTCCCCAGGCTCTGGAGGTTTTTGTTAAGCCTCCGGGAGAGGGAAAATGGCCTCCAGTGGGCTCCGGAGGCCCTCCAGAGGCCAGAAATGGGCCCGTTTTCAGATTTCCGGTAGTTCTGGTAGGCCTGTTTTTTGCCCTCCCAGGGCCTCCGTGTGGGCCCTGGGAGGGCATCTAAAACGGGCCAGGTGGAGACTCCTGAGAGGGGCGGGGTGGGCGGGGCCAGCCAGTCCTTGCAACTATCAGTTCAGCAAACCAGATGTAAAATTAGTATTCGGTTCACCAGAACCAGTCCGAACCAGCTGAATCCCATCCCTCTGTGTGTGTGTGTGTCTGGGTGTATATGGGTAAATGGGGGAGGGGAGAAATTGGGGAGTGCAGAGGGATCTTTTCTCTGTCTTTCTTTTTGATAATTTTTCAAGTAGGTAGGGTCACACTGAAATATGCCATTTAAGGAATAAGGAGACGTGTGTGAGGGCTACTGTGACTAAAGTTGGATTGATTTGGAAAGGAAACACCATTTCCCCCCATTTCCTTTGGAAGAAGCTAGACTATTTCCAAGACTTGGCTTTCATCCTGTGCAAAACAGGTTCAGTGGAAGTGGAACACATGATGCACCCTGGATGTATCTAACTTTCTAACGGGAATCTTGATTCTCTCCTGCTGCAAATGCATCCCCTCCCCTGTTCTGAAGCATTTCCATTCTATTTAAGCAACATTCAACATCGCCATTTCTGTACCACCACCACCACCCTAAAAGGGGTGGTGGGGGAGACTTTAAACATTCATGTGACAAAGAAAGAAAATAGTTGGTGGCAGCAAGCAATGGAGCAAGGAGAACTGAATGAGAAAATTACTTACGGGTAATAGGAATAAGAATAGTAGTTCCTCCTGGCAAGCGTGCAAACAAAGAGAAAAGCAGATATTGCATAAGCAGCTTTTTTTTCTTGGCAGATAATAAAAGAAAAGATGAGTTATTTGGACCAAGCCATTGCCCATGCAAAGAGGTAGAGGAAGGGGTGCTGCGGGAGAGAGGAGGGGGGATGGGTAGAGACAGCAAGTAGCTTTCATAGGTGCTTGCTGTCAGACAGCAAGCGAGATCCCCAGCCAAAGTTTTAGATAAGGAACTTATCACCCTAATTTTTTTTTTTAAAAAAACCTTTTTTTAAAAAAAAAAAAAAGAACTAATGTGGATCCTTTGCAAGACTGATGGGTTGCTTTTCCAAAAGCCCAATAGGAAGGGAAGAAAAGAAAAGAAAAGAAAAAAAGAAAAGGAAAGGAAAGGAAAGGAAAGGAAAGGAAAGGAAAGGAAAGGAAAGAAAAAGGGAGGGAGGGAGGGAGGATGGGTGATAGGAAGGAAGGAAGATAGGAAAGAAGGAAGGAAGGAAGGAAGAAAGAAAGATAGGAAGGAAGGGAGATAGGAAGGAAGAAAGGAGGGAGGGAGGGAGGAAGATAGGAAGGAAGGAAGGAAGGAAGAGAGGGAGGGAGGGAGGGAGAAGCCTGCCTATCACTGCTTTTAGTCTCACCCATTTTAGCAGAAAGTTCCTAAGAGATGATTCCCCCCCTTATCAGATTCCTTATTCCCCAAGAAGCTTTCCATCTTTTCTGTTGTCCTAAATCTCAAGGATGGCATCTCATTTCAGACAAGCTTACCCCATCAAACAGCAATCAAAAATCAGGTGACCTGAAATATCAGAGGTATGTAATGCCTTAGAATGGTGTTTTCCAACTTTGGCAACTTTAAGATGGGTTGGCTGTGGAATCCTGGGAGTTGAAGTCCACTCATCTTAAAGTTGCCAAAGTTGGGAAACGCTGCCTTAGAAAGTGAATGGCAATCATCCCCGCTGACCTGGAAATACTTTCTGCTCATTGCATTCGGACAATCCATACTTAACAGATTAACAGAGTTGGAAGGGACCTTGTAGGTCCTCTAGTCCAACGCCCCTGGCCAAGCAGGAGGACCTACACCATTTCTGACCAATGGCAGTCCAATCTCTTCTTGAAAGCCTCCAGTGATGAAGCTCCCACAATTTCCGAAGGCAACTTCTGTTCCATGGGTTGATTCTTCTCTCACTGTCAGAAAAATTTCTCCTTATTTCTAGGCTGAATCTTTTTTTCTTACCTTTAAAAAAGCTGGGACCATGAATCAAGATGTACTTGGACATAGCAACAGATAAGCCCCCGGAGCTCTCCCTAACAGCACCCCTGAATGTTGGGGGCTTAATACTGCTTCCACTGACTACAAAATAGAAAACATGAAAACAGCAACTTAAACCTTCATATAGATTTAACAGGGCTAGGGAAAACACAGCCAGTCAGGAAACCCAAATGGAAAAATCATTCTATCTGTATGATACAGGACAAGATCATCTTGTCATTACGCCACTCAGAGCCTGAGTGGTGTAGGAGGCTAATGCCTCCTACTAATGCCTCCTACTAAGGCAGCATTTAACATCCAGCTGCCTGCAATTACTGCGAGTTCAATTCTCCCCAGGCTCAAGGTCGACTCAGCCTTCCATCCTTTCTAAGGTGGGTAAAATGAGGACCCAGATTGTGGGGGCAATAAACTGACTTTGTATAAATATACAAAAGGATGAAGGCTATTGCTTAACGCACTGTAAGCCCCCCTTAGTCTCCAGAGAAGGGCGGCATATAAAAATAAATAAATAAATAAAATAAATAAATAATCTTAGCCATTGTAGCCTCATCTGCCCCCTGTGAGAAAATTCAGTATAGCTACAGGCATCCAAAAGATTGATCACCCTGCTCTAAGGTATAGTAAAATAACTACAAGTGGCAGCTTTTGCATCAGATGCAACCCTTCCAATTAATTAACCCAGAACATGTATCTTTCAACCTTCTCGACGTCTTTAGCATACCTAGTTGTTTTTTTGTTTTTTTGTTTTTAAATAGTAATAGTGGTAGTCTTGGAGGAATTGACTGAAACCAGCCAAATCTGCCATATGGAGAAGATCTGATTTCTAGAAATCCATACAAACAAAAAAGAAAAGCACATGCCTTTGCTTATTATAATTCAGAACCCAGGAACAGGTAGAACATCTTCATTTCCTTCCCACAACAATTTCATAAATATCCCTCTTTTGTTGCAAAATAAGCAGCAATTCAGCCATGGATTGCTAGTAATACTTGGTTCATTCTATCAAATAAATACCTAGCAATAAAATACATGCTGCAGACTAGATATAAAATTGTCTAAGTTGATTATCTGTCTCTCCTTCTCTCTACTAAGCAAGTGGCAAAGTATGCATTATATCTCAAGTGCTGGTAAAAGGGCTGGGAAGTTATCCACTTGAAGGCCCTGAATTCAAGAACATTGCATAAAAGCAACTTCATGTCAACATCGTATTTGGAGGTCTTTACCACTATTTTCCCAAATTTTTCTATTTAATTTTCATACCTCATACTCAGTCTACTACATAACAGAATAACACAATTGGAAGGGACCTTGAAGGTCTTCTAGTCCAACCCCCTGCTCAAGCAGGAGACCCTATGCCTGTAATGGCGAACCTATGGCACCCGTGCCATATTCATCTCTGCGGGCACGTGAGCTGTTGCCCTACATCAGCTACACTGTGCATGTGGTGCGCCTCCCGCCAGCCCGCTGATTTTTGGGTCTCTGCCATGGATGTGGAAGATGCGCATGCATGCCCATGCTGCCCCGCCCTTCCCAGGAGTCTGCATGTGGCTATTTTGGATGCCAGGTCAGTGCGCAGAGGCTCTGGAATGGCGAAAAATGGGCCTACCGGAAGTCTGGAAATGGGCCATTTCTGGCCTCCGGAAGCTTCAGGGAGGCCTACTAGGCCCAAAATGGGGCACTGGGGGGGGGGTCGTGTGCGCAGGGAGGTCACGCACGCATGCACGGGTGTGTGTACATGGGGAGCATTGCATTTTGGGTGTGGGCACGCGCGCACCCAAACCCCTCCTCTCCCGTGCTCCCCCTGCTTTTGGGTTGCGACAGCAAAAAGGTTTGCCATCACTGCCCTATACCATTTCAGACAAATGGTGCACTAGGACCAGTGGTGGGATTCAGCCAGTTCGCACCACTTCGGGAGAACCGGTTGTTAACTTTCTGAGCAGTTTGGTGAACTGGTTGTTGGAAGAAATCATTAGGGCAGAGAACCGGTTGTTAAATTACTTGAATCCCATCACTGACTAGGACTGAAGGTTAATTATAGCAACATGCCTGTTTGGAGGTCTGCACACCCTTGTTTATCACCAGGCTCACCATGGATGCAAAAAAAATAAAAATAAAAATAAAAACTGGAATGGCTTTTCTGTGAACAATACATAGGCCCTTGTATATAAGTCATATATAGAATTGGAAGTTGAGGAACTAAATTACCACATAGCTGAAGTGATCACAGTAATGAAACACAAAATTCTATTATTTTTTTGCCTATAATAATCGTGAATGGAAATGTCAGCAAATATTGTGAGGAAATTTGGAAGAAAAAAAAAGATTACATTAAAGTCAGCATTCCAAACTCTGATAGCAATCAAAGCAGCACTGTATTGTGAAAGTTGGAATCCAAGACATTAGGAGACCACCGGACTGGAAAAAAAAATGGTGGAGGGAAACAAAACCTTCTTATCAGTAGCAGAGTCATCATTCTTGATAGATGACTTTGTCGCAACAAAAAGTGGGAAAGTGGCCATCAAAGATTTGCAAAATAACAGTTATCTTCTCATTGGCATTATTTATTGCCAATAGCAATAGCACTTAGACTTATATACTGATTTACAGTCCCCTCCAAGTGGTTTACAAAGTCAGCATATTGCTCCCAACAATCTGGGTCCTCATTTTACCGGTCTCAGAAGGATGGAAGGCTGAGTCAACCTTGAGCTGGTGAGGATTGAACTGCCAAACTGCTGGCAGTCGGCAGTCAGCAGAATTAGCCTGCAGTACTGCATTCTAACTACTGCGCCACCACAGCTCAATATACAATATTCAGTTGTCTTTGTTGAACAATGTGGCTAATTTGACATTGCACACAGATGACAGAATCCCACTACTACCTGAATGTACATACAGTATGTAGGTTTGGACAAAATGGCACTTCTTTCTCCTTCAACCCTTAGCTGCAAATTTTCCTATTTTCCAGAATGCCATGCAGCATCCAACATAGTATCAGTTCACTTGGACACTATGGGTGATTAAAATTGTCTGTGCTTGTTCCCAAAGTCCATAATTGGAAATGGAGATTTCAGTATTACCTTCAAAATACAAATATGGGCTCAGTTCCTCATTGTATTAGAAAACTATTTAAAAAAAAAAAGGAATCAAATCTCTCCTGAATTGATACATGTACCTCTACAGAAGGCACAGGCTGTGTGATTTGATGCAGCACCAAGCCAAAAGAACAAAGAGACATATCTCGTTCAGACAAAGTTGAGCCTTTGGAATTTAGACTCTGCTTTGTGAAAATCTCATCGTGTGCCTTTTTTCCCCTCTTCCCTTCCCTTTCTCTCTGTCAAACATTTCTATTAAGACTTAAATGGTGGCATAATTCTGGAAAACGGCAAAGAAGCACACAAAATATTTATTGACAGTTTGGCAGACAATCCCAACACATTCCAAGCATGTAATTGTTCCTCATCAAGAGAAACAAACCAAAACGCATTAATGTTCCTCTACTACACAAAATGTCATCTGGTTTCTATGCTTCTATATAATCAGTCTCTGTGCAATATGACTAGAGCAGCTGTTCCCATTTAGTCACCCTTAAACCCCGGAGACCCAGTTTTGTTTTGTTTTTTTAAATAAACATACAACTCTGTTTTTCTCCTCTTTCTTTCTCTCTCTTTGGTCTTTCCCTGGTCTTCCCAGCCATATTTAGCTACATAAAAATAACAAACTTTTAATATTTACT